AGGAGGTATCTCAGAAGAGATACTAAATAGGGAATAGGTTATGTGCCAGGAAGAAGGAAGAAATGGAGCCAAACCTGACAGTAGCAGAGTGCAGAGTTCATTTGAGACAGCACTAGGTAAAGGTTCGCTGGTGTGACTGCCACTTGCTTTGTTCCAATTTATATCCTACTTCAAAATATATTGCTTTATTTTCTTCTTGTGGAACCAGTTATCCAAATTTTTTACTTACAGTAAGATACTTCAAAGTGATATAGACAATAAGACTGGCATGTGGAAGTGTCTGATGAGAATCACATGCAGCCTGATTTAAATTTTATACTAAAAATGCAGTCTGCATTGCCAAGAGCTTCCAATGACAAAGAAGAACACTGTGAACTTAATTTATCAATGCATTTCAGGAGTCATTGTGCAAACCTACTCTTGTCTCAATGTACAGAAATTCTTATCATATGCTCTGTAACATGCCACATCTGAACTGCAGTCTGGAAATTAATACTTGGTAGCTAATCACTATTGCATGAGAAACCATAGCAAAGAGATGCTAGCTGAGGAGGCAAAGAAGAATGACTGCCAAACATGGTGGAGGCAGACAACTGCGTTCTTAACAGCAACTTTCCCCACAGTATTCCTGCTGAAATCTACTTTTCATTCAACAATAGACTTCTGTCCTCCTGGAGCTAAGGAGCCCAAAGGAACAGGCTTAGCAAGGGGACCAACAAAGCTCTGAAGTATTGCAGTAGCATCTACAAAATAATTACTGGTTTAGGGCTCATCCTTTTCGAATTATAAATCCTACCTTAATTATTGGAGAAGTGACTGCAAGTTCAAACCCAGATAACATGTAAAGCTCCATTAAGAGAGTCTTAATCAAACGTTATACTTGCTATATATATATATACTTGCTATACCAGCGAGTATCTTGCTAGCCTGTGCCATGGGCTCCAACAGGCCTAAAACTAGCCTTATCTTGTTATAGAGCAAAGATCACCAAACTCTGAGCAAGTTACACAGCTCTTGCTGTACACTTCCTTGCAACCTATCCACTAACACTTTCTCAATGCAGCAATACTAATTACTCTCTCCAGCCATACAGTCCAAAGATAAGTCCAAATTCACTTGAGCCAGTATACTCCTGCAGTAAATCTCCTGATAACCCCTATTTACTGTGCTTTGGCTTACTCCGCAAAACAGCCTCCATAAACAGGATTCCTTTCAAATAAAATGAAATAGAAGAGTTAGTCTGAGAAAGCAGCTACTACACCTAGGTCATTAATGAATAATCTGTCCAACAGGACTGACAAGAGCTGGTCTGGAGTATAACTCAAAAACACACCTTATAGGTGTTGAGTCCTCAGCTCTGTCTTGTCTCTTGTAGGTCTGCTGATGTAGATGAAACCACAGCACCAAGTTACTAGCACTAGCAGCAGTTACTAGTTGAACTCTGCACAATACTTATTAATTAAGACTAGTTAAAATATTGGCTGTCCTGTGGAAGGAAATGACAAATTTTCTGTCACATCTGCTGTTAAACACTGCTCTTCAGACAGATGTTGACATCCAGCTCAACCAGTTTCTCAGTGACATGAATAATTTCTTGTCAGTTGAACAGGCATGGACAGCATAGCTTGGCTTAGGGTTTAGAAGCAGTGCATGAAGTAAATTCTTTAAATGAGGATGAGCATAACTGAAACAATAGCTATGATGCAAAACTCCAACATATCAATACTTGACTGAAGATATACTAAGGAAACATGGGTGTACACACTTCCAGTTTCAGTTGCAGATATTAAGCTTCCAAAAGTAAAACCCAGATGTTTGTACCATGAAACAAACAATAAAAGCTTATTTTAGATATAAGTGTACTTCACCCTTCTTGATGGCTATTAGAAAATTACCATAATGGAAACAGGTAGCATGAGAAGTGTGAGATTTCCACACTATGTTTTTGCTTTTAATGAGTTCATGTTCAATGTGAGAAAGTGCTCAGCTAGAATACAGTTGTCGTTCCCTTCTCCTTTGTCAGTCTGCTGTGTTTTTCTTCTCAGTTCTTCAAAGAACGCACCGAGTAGATCACAACCTCAAATTTGGCTTTATTGGTCCAAGCTGATTTTATTTTCTGTCTGAAGAGTAAGGCCTGGAGTCAAGTCTGTGTGCTTACAGTGAAAATGTCCTTTAGAATCTTCACTGCAAATACACCTGCCAAACTGCCTCCTAAGTATGCTCAGGAAAAACAATCTCAACAGCCTTGGCAGGCTGGACATATGGTGCTTTGTTTTTTGACTCCAGTAAGAAACTAAGGGGGATGATCTGGATAAGACTAGTATTACTACGGCTCGCAACTTGGTTTCCTCCATTGTTATGAAGGCTTTAAGATAGACTTAGCTTAGATAATGTCATAGGCAGATTACTGCCTGCAACTCACTCCTCTTTCCCTGAATCTTCATGCTGCACTGAATGCTTATTTATGGCATTGTGCTGTGAAAACAGCAGCTCAAGCACAAACAGGATGAAATGCCACCTTGTGTCAGTGCCTCCATTTTGATTTACTGAAGTGCATGTATTTCTGCAACTTTGATCCAGTGTGATGGACTGTAAAGCAACAGCTACAGTCATAGTATACATTGTGCGCAACAGCCAGCATTTCTTCCACATTCTTGCATTTGCCCCTGAAACCATGTGCAGTACAGTTAAAATAGGGATGCAAATGTATGAACAGTCTTGCTTCAGTATATACAATCACATCTCGTTAGCTTCAGCATAAACAATTGGACAGCTTCTTAAACACATACACAGAACAATTGGATTTTTCCATCCCCTCCTCCACATATTTCACAGTCAGGGCATTATGTACGCTAGAAACAGGGAAGCCAAGCTATGGCTGTCATTTGCTGAGATACTGCAAAAATGCATTGCTGACATAAGTCAGTGTGACTCCATCTACCAGAGCAGGAGTTGGGTGTACTCAGCACCACTGAAATTCAGGCCATTTAGGTACTGTGGGAGTATGCTCCCAGTTTTACCTTAAAAACTGCTCTCAGACAAAATTCCAAGATCCAAGTCTAGTAAGAATGCAGAACGGTTAGCTAGCTTATGGTCCACAAAATCCAACCAATAGTAAGCAAAGGAAATGAGTAAAGGCACAGGAGGAGACCGACAGCCTGTGCAACTGCTGCACTGTACGATTTCCAGACTGTGCCATAAGCTGCCAATCACTACTGGTACGGGTTGTCATCTGGCTAGCCTTGAACATATGCGTATAGTATGTATTGCTTAATTTCATTTGCAGTCTACTTTCAGGAAAAAGGAAAAACAAACAAAACCAGAATTAGTTACATAGGTGGAATTCCAGTCACTGTATTTTGGTGCATGTATGTTATGGTGCATTGCATGTGTATTTTCAGACCAAATTTGGTGCTGCACCTTTTCTGGAGATGCAGTTCATTTTGAGTAACATACAAGGGCATAATTACTTTTTTTTCCTCAATTGTAGCAAGTGGATTTAGTTCAGCCCAAGTGCGTGCTTAAGTAAATACCCTATGAAAAGAATATTCAGCAGGCTGTGAAATAATCATCAGTTCTGCAATTCTCATTGGAGCATGAGAAATACTTCAAACATCCTTAGGTTTCTATTGGACAGCAATTTTCCTTGCTGCACAAGCTACAACCACTAAACTGGAAAATACAAAGTTCTCATGCAGCACCCGATCCAGAAGTGCCCAAACAAGGAAATTAATTCACCTTTGGTGTCTGAACGAGAAAATACAAGCAGAAGATACATAGATGCAGAATATATTTAGTAATCTGGGAAAAAAAAAAAAAAAAAAAGAAAGCAAAGTGTCATTTAGTAAGAAAAAAACAGTAGCAAACCCCGTAAGATTTGTAGAATTACCTCTGTTTAGTATGTAATGTATCAGAGAAAAAAAATCTTTATGCATCTTACATAGTTCATAGGAATTCATTGTGACTTGCTTTGGTAATTGCTCTGCTGGTTCAGGCTATTTAGGGAAGTATTTCTACTAGTAATGCAGAAGAATTACAAGATTTAAACTGTAGTATGTAATGCTAATGCAGTAAGGTTTGGAGCTACTTGAATTTGTTTAATTTGAACAATTGTTAGTAATAATATTACATGCATTTTTTAAAATTTGCTGTCAAAATGAGTTTTCCCTTGATCCAGTTTCTTCATGATTATGTTAACGTAGATATTAAGTAGGAGAAGTTTGAGACATTTGCCTGCATCTGTGCTATGAAGATTTTGAATATGTAAGTACTCCACAGACATTCCATTACATTTGCTTTCCCTATTCATTTCTTCTTAAGTCAGATTATCTACCTCTTCAAAAAAGCTTGGAATTTGCTTTGCCAGTTCAGGCTCTGTTTAAAGACTCAGGAATATCTGTATACAACTAACTTCAGTGCAATGAAAATAAAGTTACCATCAATAACTCACACTGAAAGAAATTTTTAACAGCAGCACTTTTGTAAGTTACGTATGTCTAGAGTAAAGAGAAGAGACTGCTGCAATGACCGAATGAAGCAGCATTCATCTGTTTCTCATACATATGGGAAGAAGGAGACTGAAAGAATTCTCCTGCAGCTTGTCCTCTGCAACACTATGTTTTGACTATTTTTGTCCTTCAAAAGAACAGCTGCATTAGAAACTCTTCAAAAAGGGAACTGTTCAAGAATGAATAAGATTGATTTATACCAAAGTTATTTGATTATGCACACCATTATGCATCCCTTCACATGTGCAAAAACACAGTGACTTTGCTTGTACAAGGAAGGCATTGTCCAGCATGACTTCAGGAATAACGTTATTTAGCTGCTTATGAATTTGAGAAAATGTTAAAAAATCCAATTGGCATCAAGGATAGCAAGAAATAACAGGTGTAAATGTAACAGTAAGATCAGGTTGTGGTGTTTTTTTTTTTTAAAAAAAAAAAACAAAACAATCCAAGTGATTAAAATGAAGCTACACATGAAGCTGTACCTTGAGCCCAGGCTCAGTCACTATGCAACGTGCCATCTACACAATTTTCATATCTTACATTACCAGTTTTGTTCTCACAGCTGCATATCTGCAGAATACTGAGCTATGTTCATTTCTAACTCCTTATTAAAAGTTCTGCATGAGCTTTTAACTGAGATTTTTAGCATTCCCTAAGGGTTTCTATTGTGGCAGGTTTTCCTTCTCTACTTAGAATAGATAACCCATGCCTTTCATCTTGAAGATCCAGGAGCAGGGCTTGCTGTAACCCCCCACCCTCATATTCTCTATAAATCTGAATCCTGTAAGCTCTACCTTCTACCTCAATTCTTGTAGTAAATTTAGAGCATCAGAGTATTCCTTCACAACACTTGCTGCATGGGAAAACTGCATCTCTAGAGAGCAGAAGCTAACTTGATGCAGTAGAGAAGACAATTAGCATTACTTACAAACCTCAGTCCGCATGAAAAAGCCAGGTGGATAACCTGCTAAGCCTTTCCCATCCCTCTTATGAACCACAAGTAGTAAAGCAGGATGTGCAACCCATATGCTCTCTAAATTAAGACCATATAGAGCTCTGCATACATAAGACAGTCCGGGAGATCTTGACTGTTGCTACTCTCAAAGCTTCTTGACTTATTTATGAGGAGAAAAGAAACAGACTTGTGCATTTACATCACATACCTGCATCTTCTAAGTGAGGCCCAAGGGCAAGTGCATTCTTTAGTCTGCATATAAAGGAAGCTTACCCCTTTGTGGTTATACTTCCCAAAGTTTATTTTGAAAATAGTGCTTCTTGAATTTTAAATAATAGCTTACGGAAGAAATATTTTTTAAAGGTTTATTTGAACTGACCAAAGAAAGGCAGTGAGGTATGAGCAGTCATGTTCTAAGCAGCAGATTTTGAGATGTTATTTAGGGCAGAAAGCAAAACCACAAACTACCTTCTGCTTTGAGTCAGGCAACTCCATTATGCTGCTTCTAGATACCTAAAGATTAAAAACCACAGATATAGCAAATTATGTATTGCTGTACCAAGAATGATGGTCTGTTTATGAATACATCCTGAAATATTTGTGGTTCTGAAAGGCAAGACTCCGTTACATTTTGGAAATACCTTAAGATATCTAAGAGCAGTACATATAAAAAATGTGAATATGTTGTTCTGTGCGTTAGGACACATCTTCACAAGGCTGTACTTATCCCTCTACAATATTTTCTTTCAGATTTACTTGCATGCTTTTGCTGTTCCTCTCCTAGGATGTTCACTTCTCAGGGTACTCACTGGTTCTCACTGTACAGCAAAGCAGTCTTTCAGAAACACAGTAACTGCTCTCTTTCACAATGCTTTTTGAGCCTATTTAGAAGTATTCTAAGAGTGACTTCGTTGTTGTTACCTAAAAAGGACAAACTTAACACCTAATAGCAATGTTTCAGTTACCTACCACTGCAGTTTAACCGTCTGAAATTGGTACATCTGCTAAATTGAAGCCCACTCCTCATAAAGTTGGTAGAAGTGAATAAAAGTGAAAAAATCTGATTCTCATTACAGGTTGTGTGAAAAGAGAGGAAAAAAACTGTTAAACATACCAGCTGTTATACTGTTCTACTTCCTAATCTTTCAAACTTCACATCAAGTTATTGAAGTTTAAAGAGATAAGTATCTGTATTAAAAACTATATTTACTGATTTGACTGCATCCTGGTCATAAATACTTAAGTTGTATGAATGATGACAGGTTTCCTATTCTCTAAAAATGATTTGTCACTAAGCCCATTTTGTTATTCAGTGTATTGAGAACGAAGTAGAGCTGAATCCTTACCAAATATGTGACTCCAATTAATTTGGCCCATGAACATGAGCTGTTCAGTTTATCTGTAGTTAAACAAAGCAAACCAGAAGTATTACCTTTATTTCCTCAACCAAAGGGGAGCACTTTGGAAGGATAACAGTAACCAGTAACACCTAGATCCAGAGAAGACAGTTTATCAGCACCACCATCAAAAAGCACTTCCTCAATACTGACCAAAATACCTCACACAAGTTAATGCCGGATTTCAGGCCGTTTCCACCTTTTCCTCCATTACCGTAAAGAAAATGCACAACTTCCATATTTATTTTATATGATGCTTCTGTCTGAAGTACAGAAGCCAGTTCAGCATGAACTAGCAGAGCAACACTCTTCCTTAGTGACCTCTCCCGACATGGGGGTATGCCTCACAATCTCCAATTCTTTTGGGTAGTTAAAATGGGCGCAAGCATCTAGTTATGAGAATTTGCTGTAAAGTCATTTAATTTCAGAACCTTTTCAACAGAAGCTCTGCTATGTTCTCTCTCCTTATCAGCCTCTGTTCTACTGTGTGAAATTTGGGTAGAACAGTTACATGACAGCAATCAGATAAGATGACAACTTCAGTTTCCCAAGTCTATGATCAAAGATTAGCACTGGATTTGTTGAGTTTCATGTGCCATGTCTATGAGCTTGGAGGGGGGTAGCATAAAAACCACAGAAAGGGATAAAACACTAAAACCATTCACAGCTGTATAGTGACCGGAATTGGTCAGTTTATCAGATTGCAAACGCAAGCAATACAGAAGAAGGCCAGAAGCTCTTACAAGTGACAGACGTTATTCTCAACTGCCCTTACAGCAGGACAATTTCTTTCGTCAATAAGCAACATTTGTTTTCACCCCCCGTATTAACTTTAGTTTGAATTACTTGTCTGGAAATTACTAACCCTGAACTCTAGAAATAAAATAAATCATTACAAGATTTTAGGAGGTGCTGAAACATTTGTTTTGAGGTTTTATTACAAAAATATATTTGCAAACATACAAAATTTTGGATGAAAAATGTTCATTCTTAAACATTTATGCAATAACTTAATAACTGCAAACATACATAGGTGCTACAAAATCCATTCCATACAAAAAATGTTAATGAAGCAGTATCTTCACTTATTGACTTAAAATTCCTCTCATTCCCAGTTTCCAGAAATTTCTCCTGAAGCCCTCCTTCTCCGTTGTCTCCATCCTCACAGAACATGCAGATGGGTATAGAACTGGTGCACCCACTGAAGTGGTAAAACTCAGGAATTGCTCAAAGCACATAACACATTAAAAAATAAACAAAAAAACCCCAAACAAACTAAGCCAAACAACCATATGCCCATACACTGACTAGATAAATATAAATAGACAACCAAATTAAAGATACTGCAGTTTTTCCAACTTGAAGGGAAAATACTGCATCTTAACATTTGTGTAACATTGCCAGACAAAAGTGAGGTGATATATATTGCACACATTCCTCCTGTTAAGATAAGCAACACAAGTAGCTGGCAAAAGGGTAGACAAATTGTTTACAATACTTTTAAAAACAAGAAGGCCCGAATTAACATTTTATTCTAAAAATATTTCAGAAAGTGTTATCAGTGACTATACATGGCATAGTGGGTTTCAGAAATTTACCAAAATGAAGCAATCAGAAATGCGAGCAAAACCAAGATATATCCAGGAGCAAGTGATTAAATATTGAGTATTTATGCATAAAGCTAAACATATATAAGAAACTAAAACAAATAACTAAGCTTTTTTAAAACATTATTCAATCATTCTCCAAATCTTGTTTAATTTAGAAAGCTACACTGCTTCTAAGTTAACAGATGTTAGGCACCTTTTATATAAACTCTGCATTATTAAATAACCAGCAGATCAAGTTTAACTACAAAACTGAGGACTTTGATTTTCCTGAATAAATCAGCAGCTGCATGTTTTGTTTTTGATTAGGCTTAACTCTTTCATTTTTAAATTAAAGTGACTTAAACGCCAGCAACAGAAAACATGCTTAGACAATGCAATTAATGTGAGGAATAAAGTCTAAAGAAACCTTTTCCTTCTCAGAACTAATAGATATAAACCCATTAAGCCAGCAGATCCACCAATAAACTCCACACTTGAAAATGGTGAAAATAAATTGCTGTGATGACCCCATGGTCATTTCTATATGCCCCAGTTATCGCTACATGCGGCTAACACAAATCAAGTATGTCGACAAGCTGGTAATTTTAGGTTTATGCAAAAAATTAAGATAAGCAGGAAATTAAAGTTCTTAAATAACACAGTCTACATTACAAATAAACTCAATTCTACACTGTAGTTAAGCTTGTGTTTTACAATGTAACTTATTTCTGAAGAGATTTCTCACTACTCACAAATGACAGACTAACTGGAGTGTACTGGAGGACACTTGGGTTAGTTCCAGCGTCTGTGGGCTATATGTAGAGGCCAGGGCAAATATCCACGAAAGTGTTCAAGATGAACAATTTTTCTTGTAGTAAAAGTGATTTTATTGTTTGTCTTCCAATTCATTTTCATAGCTGGGTGAACTGATAAAATACTGTTACTAGTGCACGACAAAACCACGGATATTCAGCTGTCAGAGTGAAGTCAAACACTCCTAACAGCATTGCTGCTCTAAGCAGTATTACTTTTCTCAACTCTGTATCACTTAAGAACTCAAAATACAATTTCTTCTATTGTTTCTATATATCTTTGGATAAAACTGTATCTAGCAACAAATATCATTAGTTATTTCTATTCTTAGAAACATGTATCAAATCTTCCTTCAAAGAAACTGGAAGTCGTCTGTAAAAGCCAGGGAAATATGAACCTCATCTTTGAAAAAGTGGCTCTGTATTTGGCTTTGACTACACATTCCCCTCCCCCTCCCCCTCCCCCCCAGAAACTGCACATTGCTGTATTAAAGTTCTTCTAAAACAACCACTAAATTAGTTGAGACCTTATACCTAAATTGAGTGTTACTGTTTATACCCAGACACAGTATCATAACTCCAGAATTTGTGTAGGAAGTTCCCATCTTCCTTAGCAAGGCGCAGAGTCCATATTGCTGACTTCAAATGCTACAATTAAAGCCAATAAATCTCTTGATGAATGTGCATGATATTAGCATAATTCCCTGAATCCTGCACATTTTCTAACAAAACTATTATATATTTTAACTGGAAACACTGAACTCAAAGGCTGCAAAGAACTTTCCAAAAGGCAGGTAGTGCTAAACAAAATATATTTTCCACTAAAAATCTATGAAAAAACTAAAATAGATCAAATACATAAAAATGTAAGTATCTATTGTATCTAAAACATACCAATTTGTGAGAAGTAGCAATTAAAGCTCAGTTGCTAGTTTCCAACAAAAATGACTGTGTATGTTGACTATGTTAACCTCTACTAATCCTTAGGATACACACTTTTTTTTTTTTAAAATGAACAATTTTTTTTCTTCAATTTAAATAGTGCTTGAGGGAGGGGGAAAAAGGCAGTGCATCAGAACTCTCTACAGACTAACTTTTTACGTAATAAACCAAATTTTTTTTTTCTTAAATTGCAAAAGCATCCTTTAAAATTAGTATTGCTGGAAAAAGTTCAGACCTGAAGTCCTGTTAACTACCTTTGTATAATTTGACAAAATAAATACAAGCCATGGGTAAACCAACACAGCAGCATAATAAAATATAGTTAGAAATCTTTCTGATTGCAAATAAGAAAGTATGATATTAAATTCTTACATTGCTGAACTACGAAATAATATACAAAAAGCAGTAACATGTTAACTAGATAAATTTCAGAGCATGAAGTATAGACAAATAATTTGGAGAGTAGCCAAGAGAAGAGCATGCAATTGTTCCCCACCTGCACAGTTTTCAACACTGCAGTTACAATACAACTGAGGAATGAAATCCAAATAAGATATGGTCTATTCTTAAGTTAAAAGGGAAACGAAGTATTTCAGTCATATCAAACACTACTGAACAGGAAAGTGGTCTTCCAGTGGTGGCCTCCTACCTACACTTAACCTAAAAGAACCTCAACTCACAACAGAACTATTCTGTTGCTTAAAACTAATATAATCATTGAAGATTCTGTATATTTCTCATTCCACCTTCTAGAGAAAACAGCCTTACTCACTTGGATATCTGTTTTATGTCAGACATGAAGCCATAAGATTAATGAAATATTTAAAAGATAAATTGATGAGCATTAGCCAGAGACTGTTAATGTACTCAGCAAATCACATTCTTAAAGCTTTTGTTTAAAGATTTAGCTACAAAGGCCTGGCTTCCAAATCCCAAATTTTCCCCACATCTGCCACCTTAGTCACAAGGCATCCAAATCTCACCTTAGAATTGGAACTAGGTTCCAAAATCAAGTCTTGTTCTAGTGTGGTGTAGTGTATTATACTACATATATGCTAGTTTAAGTAGTATGTAGTCTGTAATCCTTGAAAGGTGAATACAGCTAGGAACAAAAGCCAGAGCAAACATCTGCATGATCAAAAATGCAAGTGAAAGCTCATAAGCAAATTAAATCCCCTCCCCCAATAAAAAGAAAGGTCTGCTGGTGATGATCACAGTGAAAACCTAAATCACTTCTGAGAACATTACTTTCTTAAAGTATTTAAGGAATACTTTTTCCTAACGGGTTCAAATTCAAGACATTGAAAACTAAATATTCTTTTAAAAAAATATTAGTTTTATAGATGAGGCATAATTATTTCTAAAGTGGTAATATTCTAAGCAGATTTAGCTTCAATTATAGCTTAATGTTGTCTGTATTCTTGGTTAGGACTTGCAAGTAGACTTCATGAATAGTGCTGAGAAAACGGGAATCATTCTGCAGGAAAAAAAAACAGAAACATTAGTAAAAAGATGTAAAAAAAAAAAAGTAAAATTTAAGTCAGTTTAAGTTGTGCATAAGAGTCTTAATATACTGCTATCTATCTGAGGATTAAGATAAGGAAATTAGCTGCCTACCTGTACAAAAGGCAGCGCTGTATGGACAACACACAGACTTTGAAACACGAAACTGTGAAGGCAGCTAAAGTGATTACTAAGCACAATGGATACTCAGATAAACAGCAGCCCCAAGATCAGCCCTGGCTATACAATTTCACTTTCTTCTATTAACTGCACCTTCTTTGAGAAGAGTACAAAAAAATTAAGGCATAGTAAATTCCATCCTGCATTCAGACATCCAAATAAAGGCTGTAGAAGAGTCAAAAATACGTGAGTTAGTTCTGCCTGCAAAAATCAATCTGAGAAGGACTGCAGTGTGTTATATAAAAATCCCCGTGGCAAAGAATTACTGGGAAGTGAAATTGTTTCATCTATAGAAAGCATTTAGAGATATTTCTTGAGCCCTACTCATTCAGATAGTAGGTAATTATCTAGGCTGAAGATGTAGTACTCTTTTTTACAAAACTCTACATAGTGAATATGTGTTCTCCTTGGAGCACCCTGCAAGTACTCCTCTGCTGTGGGGGTACAGTGACTGTTGCATATACACAGCCATATAGAAAGAGAAGATCAGAGACATGAATATTCCAGTCAGCTCTCTGAAGTCACCACAGCAACTTTCTTCAGACCATTAAGGTGAGAATCTCTAATGAGAACAGCAAAGACTTCTGACAACTGAATTCAGTCGCAAGACCTACAAGCAAGCTAGTTTTGTATCTTTAAAGGAAAAATTACACACTAATATGCAAAAAAACCCAACATTTATCAGGCAATTTAGATGATATTGGGGTCTGGTGATGGCCTTTTTGATCATAACTTTTTCATTGGAGAGATATTTGCTACTTCAGACCTGCATTTTGAGTGTAAGACCAGCATTAGCATGGAAAAAGCTAGAGAATCCTGAACTAAGAAAATGGCTGTCATGCACGGCAACTTCTACTTGCTACCTATAACACTGCTGATCTCACTTTCTAGCTACTCCCAACATTATGGATTTAATTTAACTGAACTTTTTAGTCTGTAAGAATGGTACAACTAGAACTTTTTGTAACTTCAATTCCAAACATACACACATTAAAAATGAGGAACAGTTAGAGGTAATTGGCAACAGGAAAGCTTTCCAAAGGAACACAGAAACACTTAAGAGAAACCCAACCCTCACCCCTCATACTACTGCTTCTATACACGTAACCTTTTCCCCAAGTGTTCCCAAATTGATGTGTGTGTGAAAGAACGCATCAAGCAGAACTCTGTCCTTGCAAGTCATCCATCTTACAACCAAATTCTCAGTACTGGCTACTGTACTTATAACCCCACCCCTCAGATATTGTGTTTTCTTCAGACAGGACCTTTATTAGATGTATCAGTGCTTCCTGAAGCTGAGACCTACTGAGAACAGTAGGAGGTACTGTCTGAATTTCTGTTGTTCCAAGAGTTAAAGGTGATGAAGAATTGGCTTTATTTTCCACTTCAATAGGTTTTGTAGCTGACTGCTGAAAAACACTAGGAGACAAGAGGATTGAAGGCGTTACTGTAGTTGTAGCTGTAACAAACTGTGGAGATGCAACCTGCAGAAAGAAAAGAAAGTTAATAAGCACCACGTCCAGAAAGAATGAATGCTGTTATAAAAAAGACTGTAGAAATGAACATAAACATATTAAAAATCATAGCTACTGGTACAGTAAGTTAGAAAGGCACTACAGAATAGCTACTCACAATGAAAAGCTATTTATCAAGTAATTTAGTGTCAACAGAAATCCTTATTTTAGAAGATGAAGAAGCTGACAGCCTTCAGTGTTCTTACATGTAGACCCATTCCCATGTAGTTGCTACTTTTTTTTTCCCCCCCCCAAACATAACACAGAAGGTGAGCTTTTCACCTATGTAGTGAAAGGAAACTATGGGGGTTTTATTGTTCTGTTAGTTTTTCAAATTTTCTTCTTCAGGAGTTCACAGAAAGGATAAACCTAATGTATTTTTTTCCTGTTGCTTTTGTACTTCCATGGTCTCCAAGTACATTTACAGTTTGGAGTGAAATAATTCAGAATTTCAAAGGTATTTTAAAATACATTTTAAAATGACCAATGAACTGTAATTAAAATATTCAAGTACACAATCTTTTTCACTCTAAGGCAACTGGACAGGAGAGAGAGAGAGAAAAATGGGGAAATAATTTGACAATCACCTTCCCCACCTCATTCTTCTACAGGTCTACTTGACATTTTATTACAGAAATCTACTCTGAGGCACATAAGGCTAATTGATCCCACAACAATGTTGTAACAGTAGTACTTAAAAAGAGCAAATGAAAAGAACAGTTCAAATGGTGCTGCAATATAGCAGATACAAAAGTATATTACCATTTTTGTACTAGCAGCGACCATAAAATATGTCTCCGTACAGGAGAAAAGCACACTCACAGCAGTCTACAGAAATACTTCCTTAATTCAGTACAGCTTGTTTCTGACCAATAAAAGCTCTTCAGATATTGTCAGAGTAAGCAAATATGACAATTTAAGTTACCAATTATTACCAGAGTTTTAAAATTTTTCATTTTATTTTACAAGTAAACCAAATGTGTTGAAGTGTTTGTTCACCTACCTGACTTGCTTTAGGTAAAGTCTTGGACTGCGGAAATACTTCTGGTTCTTTGTTTTGTTGTACAGCCTAATATGAAAAGAAAGCATAATTCACAACCTGGATATAGCATTAAGTAGTTTTGTTTGATAGTTTTTATTCTTACATTATCATTGTACCCAGATGCAAGAAAGATCAAGCCTTGGCTGTGATTATAACTAAAAGAGGCAACCAAGTTTGTATAACCTCCAAATAGGGCTCTACAGAGAATTACTGCCTTTGGAGGAAAAAAACCCCACAAAATCATCTGAAGTAACATCTTTACTACAGAGGTAGCAAAAAGTAAAGCAAAGCAACACTAATTGACAGAGATGTTACAGGGCAGCCACAGGCAGTAGCCTAGCAGAGCAGCAGTAACATTTTCACCTAGTCTCTCAAAACAAGCTTATTGCTTTGGGTTATATTGAGGCATAGACAACACATTTGCTTGCAAGAAACAAAAAGTTTAGAAGGTCCTATAGAAGTGATTCTTGGATAAAAGAAATCAAGGTTGTTAATTAGACAAAACAAATCAGTTTATGACCCATTCCGCTACATAAATAACATCTCAGTGGAGTACACAGGAATCCCCAACAGAAGTGGTCAATACTGAAATGGTATAAAACTTCCTAGGCAAAATTATCCAAAAGAGGAAGCTGTTAATTTTGTACTTTCAAAGACGACATGGGCTATATACTTCCACAGAATTAACTCCTGTAGCACCAATTAATCTGTTACTGCCAATCTCTTCTCAGATTACATTTTAGCTGCATTTCTCTGACACAAGTACAGCCAAATTCCTTAGAATGTATTCATGTAATAACAGCAGCAGCCTGAAAAAAACTCTTCCTCCATATAGAAGTCCATCACTGCCGGCAGATACTAATGACAAGATTTAGATTTTAAGGTCCACAATCTGATCAGTCACACACAAGAATTCCTTGATTATTTTTAAAAAGCATATATATAACAGCATAAATGAAAAAATATTTGTAGCCTATACAGCTTAAATCTGTATGGACATAAAGAATACCTGCAGGGAAGGGATCTTCTTGCTGTTCAAGGTTGATGATTTACTGTGTGATTCTTTGAAGCTTTCTGGTGTTGCAAGTTGGCCAATCGAGGCAGAGATGTTTGGCGTTAAGGAAGTCTTAGTGATAGACTGCTGTTGCATTTGGTCATGCTGTGGGGTCAACCTGAGTTTCTGGAGAAGATCAACGCTTGTATGGGATGTATTTGAAACAGTTCCTGTATTTGCTGATGTCAAGGGTGTTATAAGCTGGCTCTGGCCAGCCATTAAATTCTGTGGAGCATGGTTCACTTCAGAAGGCTGATTCACTAGTGGGGTTATCTGCTTGGCAGCTTGCTGCATAACTTGCATTATACTGTTGTTTTGTTTTAGGCCAGGAAGCATTTGAGCAGGAGCAGCATCCATTGTTGAAGATGAATTAAGTATAGGGCTTAAACGAACTGAATAGCTTGAAACATCAGGCTGGGAAACTGAGGCTGGAGGTACAAGCAGAGGTGTTAGACATTCCTGTTGACTCAAAGGATTGGCACTAGCTTTAATGTTTGGGCTTTCCGATTTCCCTTGTGGTGGTTGTATTACTGCTGTCTGGTCAAAGGAAAAAGGCAAAAGCAAATTTTGCTGCTCTCTGGCAGAGGTATCAGTCTGCAACTTCTCCATTCTCTCTGGATTGGGATACAGAGGTAAAGGCTGTTCCTTTGGTACAGAAGTCCCAAAGAGTTCTTCTAAAGTCAGATGCTTTGGCCTTGACTGAAAAGGCTAAAAAGAACAGAGAAGAAAGTTTATAGAATCAATTTGGAAAGAAAAGATTAGTGTGCCTCTGTGTAATACTGACACAGTCAGTATTACAACTTCAAGAAAACTATGAAAAACAGCTGGGTCAGACGTATTCAAAATACAGTTTGAAAATCAACTGTCCCCTGTTTAGAGAAATTTTTAAGTCCATTTCATTTACAAGGAACATCCAGTCTATATGAACTAATCACATCCTGCCCCTCCCCCTGACTCAAAGGATTTAGGACATAAATATTGTTGAACCGTGACACTGCTAATTAACTCAAGATTAGCCATGTTTCATAATACAGCAAATTCCAAGAGACACGCTCAATATAAAATAAGCTGGATAACTGACAGCAGCAGTCATCTAAATCTGACGGGATTCAAGCCAAGTCAATTGTTCCAAATATGAACAAATAATAATATACTAGTAACTACACACAACCATGCAGACTACCACTTTTACTTCAGTAAATTAAACTGTATGTTCAGTTATGGACTTCAACTGAAGCACTATATGTTGGTAATCTCACAAGTTTTAAGAAGGGTAACTCCAGCAAGCCTTGGCTTCGGGGAAAAGATTTTGAGCCACTTGGTGTTTGTAATGTGATAGCTGCAATGTTTTGCCGGAAGTGTAATTAAACATTAAGCTGAAGTTGGTTCTGTCACTAAATCCTATACTCACATTAATGAAAGGTACTGAAAAAAATATACATTTCCTCTAACACGCTGAAAGACTATCTTACATAAAAGTTCCTTGAAGAGAAATTTGAACAGCATTCTCTATGTTAATGAAACAATACAAGGTCAGCAAAGAGGAATAGCTGTCCACTAAGAACTTGTTTTTGAAGGGAAAAAAATAACAATAATACACAAGTTGGCGTTAACAGTGCACTCCTAACTATCAAATCATACGTTGGTTAGACAAATAGAAAAGTGTTTCTTTCCTTGTTTTAGGAGAGCCTTCAGAAAAAGGATTATTCTCAGTATAGGAGAAATAGCAGAAGTCCTAACACAGCAACTAAGGTGACATGTAGGAACAAAAATAACCCAAGTCATTTGTTTTCACTTTCTCCTTTCCAAGAAAAAGTAACAGAATGAGAAAGCAAATCAAAGGTAGGGTTGAACAGACCTGCATGCATTTGAGCTGCTGAAGTAGCAATACAGTATAGTTCAAACAGCTGCCCAACATTTCAAATGTTTTTAGAAGCATTTAAAAAAAAAAAAAAATCAAACCTAATGAATCACAGGCTCACGTATACCATTTTGCAGAAAAAAAGAATGCTTTTTCTCTACGAGTATAATCAAGGAGTTTGAGCTAATTCCTTGTTCTCTACTTGCCAGTTCTACCATAAAATAAGCACAATTTATTCCAAGCCAGTTATTTTAGCTGAAATTGTTTCAAGTGCGTTTTTCTAAAGAGAAAAGAAACAGCTACTAACAACGTTATCTCAAACTGTTCCTGCTTTTTTTTTTTTTTTTTAGGTTGCACAGGACCAGAAGTTATGTAAAACAGCTGGACTAAAATATAACCTTCTGTTCAGAAGACTGAATGGCCTGCAGCATAACTCCAGCATGTTCTTATGGTACGTCAAAACAAAGACAGTATTTTACAATGACAACTACTATATCACAACATTGCTATGCTTGTTCTAATTTTACTAACACTCATATCAGCAATGAACGTACTGCAGTACAGGTAACATGCAAGCCTAGCACAAAGCCTTGAGCTTGAAATCTTATGAATTCTGCCCAGGTTACTCATTTGTGCCACCAATGCTGTTATTTATTATTAGTGACCTTAATGCCAGACAGACTCGTCTTGCACTTCAGACATTCTACTGTTTGCAAACCTTGCTAATTACTATGTTAGGAATTCTTCCTATGAAGCTGTTTTCCAATCTTCACCAGTAATCTTATCGCTGTAAATACCCATTCTTCAAGGACAAAAATTCTGTTAAGGAATAAGTGACTATTCCATCTGAAATTCTGCTTTTAACCTCAGTATGATGCATTGACTAGCCTCCTTTTATTAACTCACTGCTATCTACCATGCTCCAATCCCAGTCAGGTTAGCCACTTCCATGGATACAGACACAAACATCGACTTCATTCCCAACACGAGGTACACAACACATCCCTTTGCTTGACTCATCTCTGGCTGAGGTGCATTTTAAGCATGTCATCAACTCACTGTGTTTTGGAGACCCTCCTCTGCAGGGGTTTGCAAAGAGGGCAATAAAATCATTCTACTTGATAGGAACAGAGCGTTGCCCAGAGGGTTCCTCCAAAAATCATTTCAGATACATTGAGACATGTGAATTAGCAGCCAGAGCTTATGCTAAGAAATTTAATTTCAGTGTTATAGTTCAGTTTTGCTGGCCACTGGTGCAAAAACATTTCATGATACAGCTAATTTTCTTTTTGAACTGGATATATAACTTGAACCTCTAAATATCGCAGAGCAGACATTGATTTTTCATTCCCAATCTGTGACATCCTTAGCATGAAATCAATTATAAATGTGACATTCTGAGAGGGGTTTCAGGATCTCACAGTACTTATATGCACAGTAGTTTTTAATTTCACTGGTCATCTGCTCTAATGAGGTGAAAATGTATTCTTACTGTTGAAATTGTTTTCTTCATTCAGTAGTTCACATTATTAAAAAAGAAATTAGGAATAATAATCTTTGTACCATAATTGAACCCATCCAGCTTTAGAGAAGTAAAGTATCATATATAGTAACCATTTTTTTCCCCAGTATCTCTGCAGCTATAGTTTTAAGTTGCTCAACAGAAAAGGCATTAAAGCACACTACTTTATCTGCTCTGTAAATTTGTTAATTATTTCATAGCATTTTACTAGAATATTATTTTTCCGATTTTTTCCCTCGTTACTTATTACTGTTTGGCAAGTTCAGACATTTCAGCTAATTATTGGGCCAAAAAGATAATGTCTTCTTTTAAACAAAGCCTCAGGCAGCCCACTGCAAGGCCTCAAGCACAAGCATGCAGCAAGCAGAGCTGGCTGCCAGGGGTCAGTCTATCACTTGTGCTGGTTCTACATCAGAAGTGCCGTTGAGATGGTGGAGGGCACTGTGACATCCAATAATCCCAAGAAACTTCCCTTGACCTCCTGTTTTGACCCATCGACTTAAACAGATTTTTGCTACTCATATCCTAACCTGAACTAGAGATTATTTTTACTATAAATTAAGTATTTTGTTTACAAATGTTAAATGAAAGGTTGCACACATTTTCCTCAGGCATTTCCTTCTTCAGACATGGTGGTTTACTGCATTCAAAACATAACAGTAAAGCTACAGGAAGGACCTGGAGGCAGACTCTTCCAAATCACCTCAGTGGGGTATTTTCTGTAGAGAACTGCTCCTGATCTTTCTGTCCCCACTGGGTGGCACTATAAGCAGGTAAAGGTTGATAGAGAGAATTTAGATGTAGCACAAGTTATCATTTTAAAACAAATTTCTAGAGAGTACTTATGAAGCTACAGGTGCTTTGTTTACAAATGCTTACCAGAAAAAGAAGCCAATTAATGAACTTTTGCAGCCTATATTTCAACTGCTCCAGTGATTATACTATTTTAATAACAAGTTTCCCATGGCTCAAAGACACCTGAATGAAGCACAGGTTACTGTCACTACCTTTTTTTCAAAAAAAAAAAAAACAACAAAAAACCAACTGTGGCTTAATCTTCAGTTACAGTGGTAACATGAGGCTTTAGAATCTGTACATATGAAGATAGATGCTGACTGAACATTTATCTAATATTTACCTGAAACAGATCTAAACACTGTACATGCAATTAAATCACCACAAATTTGAGCAACATCCTTTACCAACACTGCTGAGAAATTTTTGAAAGATATTCCTTACTGCCAAGGAATGCAAAGCTGTCGTCTAAAACAACAACAAAAAAAGAGTCAGAAAATCTAGCAATTCACCAGTGATTTCAGTCACTAGGAGCGTAGCTACACGTTTGGACGCAGCACAGAAACCTTAAGTACAGGTCCCAGACATGGGAAAGCAAGAGCTTGAGTTTCTGTTCTGAAGTCTACAGAACAGCATACAACCGACTGATGCCATATTCACTCTGTCACTGTGACACAGGTAATTTTTGTCTGCTTCCTCACTCTGCAGTCATCTTGCACAGAACTCTACACTATCATGGACTGACAGCATAGAGTCCACGACAGTCCAGGGTCTAAGTTAACCCATTTAAACACACTTGAATATTCACAGTAGTGTGGACACCATGTTATATTTTTAAGCATTAAGGCAAAAAATGGATTGTAGGCTCCTAAGAACCTTAAAACCCACTAGTTTATCTAAAAGGGGGTGGAGGTGGTGAATCATACCAGCTGATCTCAGACAAGCACAGTCAGGAGATGAGAATAGATACTAAAACCCATTCTTAAACTGAATTTACACTTCCAAATGTATTTATTTTAAAATTAAGCACAATACATTCAGCAAGAGGATAGTGCAGGCATTTTCGGTACAAAAACAAAGTACTAATTAAAGAAGTAGCATCTTATATATGTTTGAATTAAACTTACTTGATCTTGCACTTGTAATGAAGTGTTTTGTTCTGAAGTCTCTGTGCTTTCTGGCTTCGTGGCATTTGCATGTTGTTGCACACCAGAACTTGACATGATGCTTAAATCATTGATTTGATTCTGGGAAAAAAAATACAGACCCATTTTGATCAAAATACTGATTTTTGACAGACACTGTAGAATTCCCAAGTCTCAGGAAGTAAAATCATACCAAGATATATACCATCTGACACGTGTTCATAACGCTTTTATTTTTATTTTCAAAGGAGTGAATAAAACAAAGAAAATAAAGACAGGTTTTTCACATTCTTTCCCTGCATTAGCTGCCATTGAGGACATTAAATCGAGAACTTAATACTAAAAGCAGCTTAGAAAAAACTTGTCAGAAATCATTCTGAAGTGACTGGATGAAGAGCTTGTCGATGACTTATTTCCACTAGATTTTAATAACGTGCAAGTATTTTCAGAAGATGTTAGCTGGGTTTTAGGTGAATAAGGCTAAAAGTACAAGAAAGTTGTAAACTTACTGTCTATTACTTTGACTGTTTACAGACTGAATTGACTTTTATATTTAATAAATACATAGATAAACAACACTTATTACAATTTAAAGCACTAGTGGAAAAGCAACCATAGAACTAACAGTCTAGCATTCAGTAGATGAACTAACTACACCTTATCCCTATAGGGCTGAACATCAGCACAACAAACAATTTCTTTTGTCACTTACCTGTTACAGAAACAAAATATTAAACCTTTCTGCAAGAAGTCAGAAACAATCTGAGCTTTATTATTGTTTTCTAAATCTATTTGAAAGGGATAAATACAAAATCAAAACTACCTATGGACAGAGAGAAACAACTCCTGCCTTTGTGCCTTTTAGGACACTAACCTGAAAGGTTAGCAGGCCTCTTTTTGGGCCTGAAATGGTGGATTGCCTTAGAGTTACAGAAACAAAACAAAGCACAGATTTCCCTCACTAGAGGATAATCTGCAATGTTTCCATTCTCAGAATGAAACACACACAAAAACTATAAAAAAACATCCATTCACTTCATTAAAAAAAAATCTCGGAACTCATTCATTTTCACATATGGCCTCGATGCAGCAAGTACTTGAAGGATTAAGCTGATTTGGAATCCTAGATTAAATCACTCAGACCTTCATAAATCTCTTTTTCACTCTGCCCCCTTCTCATGCTGACACTCTGCCAATCTCATGTGGGCTGCACACAAGGATTACTGTATGATCCATCTGGAATGTACCATGCAGATAAGTACTTTCTGCTCCTAAATACAAATTCAAGTGTAATTATTGAGTGCCATAAAATAATTTTAAAAAATTTAGAAAGAATACCTCAAGAAGCCATCTTCAAGTTGCTTACCTAATCATATTAACAATGATGTATGCTGGTTACAATGAATTCCAAAATTAACATGCCTGAATCTTGGCACTAAGGCTGAAGTGGTCAGTAGAACATTCTCCAAACAGTTTGCTCAATTCTATTTACCTACCAACTTGTTCAGAACACAGTATAGTGAGGAAGCAAACAAGGCAGCAGTGTGACAAGGCTACTGGAACAATGGCAGAGAATACTTTCTCTTTAAACCAAACGCAGTGGAATATGTTAAAAACTACTTTCTATATAGGTTTTCCAACCAACAAAAAAAAAGATTAAAAAATTGGCAAAGTTGCCTACTTAAGTCAAGAATTTCACCTCGTATAACCGCTGCCCTGTAGGTCACTGTACATCTCTGCTTGTATCACAAACACAAATAGGATGGTACACAGCTAGTGGGCTCTTTTTCTTATTTAAGGCCAAATCAATTTGGTATGCAACCCAATGAATACTGCTGATTACGGCACGAATAATAGCAAACCTCCTCCAGTGATTTTCAGCACAGAGGAAAAAAACTAAAAACCACGAATGTCAGCTGCTATTAAGGAATATTCACAGAACTGGAGCTTCAGGATCACAAAAACAGTCATCTACTCTTCTACAGTGTTACGTATCTGTTCACATTTTCTTTGTGACTAATTTCAAGATATGACACTAGATAAATACTGATACTACGGAGCCTTGGCATCTATTTTAGATAAAAATTATTTGTTGCATTTGCTTCCCCAGGTATCTGTTTTCAATACAGTGCTTTTTCCTCTAGGAGGTAATAATTCAAATATACAAAATTACAAGTCCAACAAATTACGGATTACATGTGCTACTTTGCAATCTTAGGTGACAGCATACTACACAGTACAATTTAGTATACAAGAATATTTCTCTACCATTGCTCTCTCACAGGTCACAAGGGATACATTTTACCAGACTCCACATGAGGCCTTAGCCCCATTACTCAGAAATGTTTTCATTTGCTCATAATGCAAGAAAATAAATGTTTCCTTACTCGCTCATATTCAACCTTGGCTTTACTAAGCATTTCCAGGATGTCAATAGGCCTGTTCTCACTGCAGCCATTTGTCCTGCTGGGACTTTTTCTGTCCTGAGAAACTTGTTGCGATCTCTGAGCTTCTTGTTCTACCACTCTGTAACAGGAAAGGAGAAATGGGTTTTCAAAATTTTATCTTGAATGAACATCTTGTATAAAACAGTGAAGAAAACCATAATTCACAGCATATAAACACATTCTGTTCTGCTTAAACAAAAACCTAACATGTAATTGACCAAAGTTACAAACACAGCACTGGTCTTTAAGTCAATATTTGCCTGCAGTAAACACTGCTTCTGTAAAACTGTCATGTTTAGACTTTTTTTTTTTTTTTTTTTTACAATAAAGTGTGGACATCATTGTCTTACAAAGAGTATACGTATTATTACAAAGACTGAGTAAAATAGATTTTTTTTTTTATTCCTTACTTCTTAACATGCAGTGTTTCCATGTTCAGCCACACCAAGTCACGTTATTCAACAAAATCAACTACGAACCAGTTATAATTTAGGACAAGGCCTACCATTAGAAAACAAAACACTCAGGGGAAGAAGACAGCTGGCTCATACCAGATGTCTCTGGAGTAAGTCTGGAAAGAAGCTTAGAGCAAGCTACCCTTCCTCCCTCACTCAGAGCTTTGGAAAGAAGAGCAAACCATTTTCTTCTCTTGCTGTCTAGCAGTAAATCCAATTACTTGTAGGCTTACAACAATGCACTTCCTCTAGTCTTTGACACCTACAGTTCATTCACCACTTCTTCACTGTCTTAAGACTAAGAAAACTTGTTAAAAGATGATTAAGATACACATAAGATCTATTCCTTATGCATTTCATCAATGAAAGTAAAGGCAACATACATTTCTACCCCTAATCCATATGCAGTTCACAAGGTATACATGGCCGTGCAGTGCACTAATGCTTATCTTCTTGAAATAAACACACACCAGCCTGTAATTCCCTCTTTTTTAAGCTTGCATTAATCAAATATATTAAGAAAAAAAACAAGCATGGAAAGCAGGGCAGAGCTCTGGAGCTGGCACATCACCTAAACTCTCATGCTGTGGAGCTGATGGGGCAGCCGAGAGGTGCCATCAAAGCAATCACAGAAAGCGTCAATCATTCCAGCCTCCAGTTTCTTCTGGTCAGCTAGGATTCAGGAGTAACTCCGGAACGTATAGACTGCTGAGTAAATAGATATTTGTATGTACCTCTATGCTAACACTCCTAAAGAGAAAATAGCACAAGTCCGCAATTCCTCCCAGTTTTCTAACAGCTAAGACCCCTCAGTAGAGTTCAGCCGTGTTTATTTGAAGAAAGATTAGATTAAAAAAGGCAACAGACTTAGCCAGGAAAATTAGTTTCAAAACTTCTAATCATACACACTGCTTATTTATCCAGATTTTCATTATTCAGTACAACTTTCCCTATTTGTATGCAAGCATTAACCTGCAAACCTAACTCAGAATCTGGGGGCCAATCTACTCTGCCAAACAATTTCTAAGAACTGCAACATGTGCTGGTTTGGCTGAAGCAGCTAAATACCGTACAAATGTTTCTATGGTGACACCATCAGAGTACATTTTGTTCTAGCACCCCACATGGTCATACAGTCCTGACTTGGGACTTGTCTAAACGTAAATCCAAAACTAGGGATGGGAAAAGGCAAGATGAAAGAAACAGAACACTTTGCTGAGATTTAAGTATCAGCATGGCTGCGTCCAGAAAAATAAATACTTCAGTTAAAGGGCAAATTCTTCTCTAATTGTTGCCTTGTGCAGGTTACATTCAGATGGTGGTGGGGGTAAATGTGGAACAGCGTACCCTCAAAACTCTGAGATACTCTTCCAGTTATAACTCACTGCTTGTATTTCAAAATAGTTTAGGTCAGATGGCTGAAATAGGTTAAATCAAGCCTACAAGCTAACCTCAATATAAAAATATTATAACGTACATGGCAGAAGGCAATAATGTTCCACAAAGACTTTGATTCTGGCAAATTTGAGGAAAAACTTTGCTTTATGCCTATGCCTTTTAGAAAGTTTATCCTTCACTAACAACTCTTTCCACCTGACTCAAATTAATTCCTTCTGAAGTGGCTTGAACACTCCCATAGACTTCTTTCACACTAAGAAGTACTCCAGAATTTTCTAAAGACAACGTTCAGAAATACCTTAGCTAAGAAAAACATCAAAAGAAAAAGCTTCCACTAATGCTAGTCTGTACAATGAGTATGCTCTGTATGCAATCAGGATTAAGACTTCTTTAAGCAAGGCCTGCTGTTTCTTTCCATTATATCAAATAGTGGAGGAGGCACACGTTCCTTCAGGGACACAGTAGTGGTTGTGACAGTTTGCTCAAGAATAACTGCAGTTATAGCACTGAAAAAATACCTGGCACAACCTCATGGAAGAGTATGGATGGAGGACAAGGGGGGAGAGAGAGAAAGAGAGAGAGGGAGAGAGAGAGAGAGAGAGAGAGAATGTGAGAAGTGAAGTTCAGTGATTACAAAGCCTGTGAAGAGTAATTTACTTTTCTTTTGAAAGATAAGCCACCAAAATATAAATGGAAGGCTGGCAATCTTGTTAACTCAATCTGGCACAATAAGGTCAACTCAAACAGCAGGAAATAGAACGCAAATCTCCTTGAAACCTTTTATGGTTATGTTTTTGAGCCTCTGAGGTACTCAGAAGTCAGTACATTTCCCAATAAATGACACAACAAATCCCACCTAAACCAACTGCTACTAACAATCACAATCCAAAATTCCACTTCTCACTACAAAAAAAAACAACAATGAAACAATATTTTTGGAAGATAAATAGTTACTCAAAAATACACTGAACTAAAGTATGGCAGGGCCTGCTAACATACAGAAAAATGCTAAATACCTCTCTCAATATACAGAAATGGCCTCCACAAATTCTTTTGTTACTCCTAAAGCAATACACATGAGTATTTAGGCATTCTATATTCTAATAATGCAGAAAGACTTAAAAATCACTTCAGTAATGAAGGACTTATTACTAGCAGAACTTCAGCTAGCACAGTCAACTTAAACCAAATTAATACTTCCTATTTATTTCCATGGAAACTACAATAGATAGAAAGAGCACAATAACACTATTTGAGCATTCTGTAGCTGAGACAGGCATCAAACAGATTTTCAGGAATGCTAACTCTAATCCCAGTTTCCAAGATGCTTACAATCCACAATCACTCCAATACCAGAAAATCAGCAATTCATCTTGAAATGACATTCACACTACATCTGCCTTACATATTATGTTTTGCCTGTCTTTAAAGATGATATGACTTGCAAGACATTTTGTTGATTAAGGCATTCAACAGAAAATTCAGAAAGCAGTAATGGCAAAGAAAATCGAAGTAGAGTACAAAAGAGAAAATACTCCATAAAACACATTCTGCATTTTTGCTAGGGTAACTACCCCATCCCACACTTCAAAACTCTTTCCTTTTGCAGAATCACAGAATTGTAGGGGTTTTACTGAAGATGCGCTTAAGCCTATTCTCATCCTCTTCAATAAACCAGACTTAATCAGCAGCACAACACACCTGAAGCAAAGAAACAACCACAAGACGACTCTCTACCTTCCAGTCACAACACTAAGGCACATCATACTGCAAACTCAACCAGATACAGCTTCCCTTGGTCTCTCTTGTTCAGACTTTGACACTCTGAAGTCCTTCCCAGCAGTGCCAGTACAACCATCTACACTACAGAATAGATGCAGTAACTGTACAGCTATATGGACAGCAGCTTGAACAAACTAACAATACAGTGTTACTATAAACACAACTTTTAAGGTTTCTTTAAAATCAGATCATTTCAGAAATCCTTCTGCTGCACTGCCTGTGAAGAGACTTCATCAGGAGCTATAAAATAAGAGCAGACATGGCAGCATTATAAACAATCTTATCTCCAGAAAACTGAATAACAACCCAGCAGCTTAACAACAAGCCTTTTTATTTCACTATTCAGCCAATGCTCCGTATGCAATTTTTAGTTCTGCAAGATTTCTCCCTATGCAAAACAAAAGCACAAGATAATACGCAGTGGTTGTATTATGTAAAAGAATTACAGAAGAACAAAACAGCAGTACTTACTTAGCCATGAGTTTTGCTATTCGATGACAGTCATTCTTGTCATAAAACCAGATACTGTAAATTGACACTTGAAAACAAGGGAAAAAAAAGGCAGTGTGAGACAACAGTTGGTAAATAAATCAGTAGGAAGGAAGCAAAAAAACCCAGCCCATTGGCTCTGCAATATGTGAATTAACATCAGTATCAACTCAAATGTCCTCTGCATGATCAAATACTATTTAAAAAGTGATTGTAAATAGCATGTAAGCAAACACATACACATGTAAATCAGATTAAATGGATGCATTACAAAATGTTGATGTTTGGCCACAAATAAAAATATCAAGAAAATGACATACCAGATGCCTTTTTACTACAATTGCAACCTTCTATTTAGAATGGCAGATTTTACCTCTAAACTAGGCTAAAGACCATCCTTGCGTTGGGGTTTTTTCTGAACACTCATTTTTAAATTTGTCAGTTTCTGAAGTTCAAAAACATGTTCAAGTTTGAGTTACAAGAATTCAGTCACAGCTCTGTGGAAGGTGCCCTCTCAAAATTCTTTTTTCTAAGGAGTAACAGTATTGGAAGGAAGTGGTAGTAAAGCTCCAATCACACTTTCACATTCATGGAGCAGCTTAAAACTAATGAGTCATATTCACTATGCATCTAAAGGCAGCAATGACAAAACAGCAAGGGCAAAAGGTTTTCAGCTCAGCAAGGTACCAAGCTCAACCTGGCTTTCAGGACAAGGAAACCTCCCCGAAAGTTGGCCAAGTTCGGTCCTGACCATTCAGCTGAAAAACACATCAGAGTGAGAAACATGGTCAGCAGTGCCTTAAGAAGTTAACCACCTCACACATCCTCATCTCCTCATGGGATGGCCCACACTTGTGCCAACACAACAGATCTGCAGAACTGTATTTGATTCAATTCACAAAGCTAGTTACTTCATATCTTGCTTCACCAATGAAATTTACCAATGCAGAGCCTATAAATTTCTCAAAAGGCAATTAGACACTTTACATGTTGCCACTGGATTGTTTTCATGCCTGAAAAAGATATTTTTTTTAGCCTAAGTCATCTCACACAACTCTCACAACTTAGCCATTACTCATACTACCTCAATCCACCCTCTCCCTCGTGTCGGTTTCATCCAGACCAGTTCCTTGATATTGTTTGCACATCAGCTTGACAACCATGCTGTCTGGCACAAGAGATAGGACAGAAACAAGATGCTTAGGGCTGCAGAGGAAGGCAAAGTTGTTGAAATGTTCATGAGAATGCTGCCTGAGAATACTGTGTCAAAAGAGAAGTATATGGGGTTCATTAGGAGAGCCAGTTTGAGAGACTGCAGACACTACCACTCTCTTGCCTAAGGCAGGTTAGCCATCTGTGCAGATATAGCTATATCTCATCCAAAAAGATGATACATTTTAAAAAGTTACCATAACTAGTTGGAAGACTTCACGGGAAGAGAGAAAAATATTTTACAGTTCTATTCTATATATTATACAATGACTGAAGCAGAAAGAGTCAAACTCTGTAAAGAAAGGATCATATTTTGAAATCATCCTAGAACATAATGGCAATAACTTAGTCCTACCTCACTCCCATAGAAGAGCTGACATAGGCATCATTTTACATTTCAAATAGAGTTAAAGACAAATGCACCTAATTAATGTCTCTCCAAGCTTGTACTTATTTCAGTAGAAGGATTAGCTGAAATGTCAAGTCCCTCCAGACACTCTGCTCTAATCTCATTCTCACCGAGATTCCTCATTCACTACTCTTGTTTTCCTTAATTTTAATGTTAGCCTTTGCATAGATTCATAAATCAGTAGAAATCATTTTTAAAAGTCCCTTTCCACTCTTACTGTTTTGAATACCTAAGGACATTTCACAAATGCAGTTCGCAGCACAACCCCACAAGTAACTGCATGGGGGTAACTCAGCGGGTGGCAAACAACATCCAGGATCCAGAAACTACAATTTGATTAAGCATAGCATGGAATGAGAAGCATGATGATTGTGGGATACTGAGCTATGGCAGAAAACCCCTTGCAGATAGAATGCCATATTTCAGGTCAAATGGAATATTTTTAGCGCTGCTTAACAGCTTTCAATGTCTTTTTTCCCCCTCCCCCAATTTGCATTGCCTCTTCTGCTGTAAAAGTATCAAGAACAGACTCCTTTCTTATCTCTGACTAAACCACTACATTAATGTGCTTGCTGGAGAGCCACTCAGCTTCACTAGTCAGAGATATCTTGTATGCTACACGCTGCCAGCTGAAGGGGGAAGAGATAATGAGCTTTTCCTTAACAGTAAAGATTTCCTATTTTGAAACCAATCAGAAGTTCTTTCAAAGAATTTTAAAAGCCATTTGAAAGAAAGCAACTCATTTTGGTTTTGCTGTTCAAAAAACAAGTTTAATTAATGACAATAAGAGGCCCAGAAGACAGTCCTTTGTATCCACACCGCACCGTTACGAGTATAAGTCTCACAACATCCATTACTTTTGTTTCACTAACCACTGCTCCACTGGACAAGGAGTAAGAAGCAAGAAAAGAAATAATCCATCAAACACTGAGCGTTTATTTTAGTAATTAAGTTTTATGTTTGACATCTGCCTTTTCAGAACCATGGAAATAAATCCACTCTTCTTTCCAAGAGAACTACCGTGGATTGGAAAGCCTTTTAATCAAGACCAATGCAGCCAATACAGAGGGCAAGTTACAAATGAAAAGGACTCAGAAGAATACTTCTTGAAGAAATTTAGAGGTAAGTTAGTCATTATCTAAAACTTTTACTAAGTTTATTATTTAGTAAACTTTAGCCATACCAGCAAAAAATATTGCTGCACAGTAGTGACCATGCTCCGAATTCTCACATTATAGATTAAAAGTACAGGACTTTCGGATTGGGCTATTACTATTTTAACTGGCAGAACCATATGCATTTTTTAGTACAGACTTGAATATCCTTTTTCACTAGATACCAGCAAGAGGAAACAAGCTAAGGTTGGTGAAAAAAATACATCACTAGAATTCAGTGCTTTGCAAACATATGCTCTGAACACCCTGAAGAACATGCACGCATCCAGACAGAAAGCTAGTTAAGGTTCAAACGTACACAGCAATATAATGCAGATTAAGCAAAAATAAATAACAGGTTAAGTATGAAACGAACCAGTCTAACTTTTGAGAAGAATTCTAAATGAAAACATCTGTTATATCACCAAAAGAGAATTTTCTGCATTTCTTGGTTGATTCATTCCTACTAGGAGATATTAGTTTTCTTATACTGTCAAGCAATAGAAGTAGAATACTTTCTTTTACCACTACAACTGGTATAATGTTTAACAGCACCTCATTCACCACACTTTTTTTGCTTTTGTTTCATTTTTGCTTCAGGATGCGACAGCAATGAATAAAAAGCACAAATTTTAATAATGTTTGTAATGCTGCTTGAGAAGTATACATAGCCTGTTTCAAAATTTTAGGTTTTCATACTGTTTTTAGGCTTACATTGTCAGAATAATTTTAAGCTTGGAAAGATTTCTCAGTTAACTGCAAAAATCTTAACAAAGTATTGTTTTCTGAGGAAAAAAAGACACCGGGCTTCAAGTATTAAGCGAACCCTACAGACAACGGGTATAAGAAAGATATCCTATCATTTGATCTATTCTGGTAGTAACATAGCCATAAAAAACTCCTCAATCCAACCTGCATAAACAGATAAAAAGCAACGATGAAAGAGAAGACTGGCCTCCATTCCATTTGAATAATACAATTCCCTCAACTGTTCTTAGAATATTTTAAGAACTTGAGAAATCCTTCACGTAATTAGATAAAGAATCTCAAGTTCCAGCTTAGCAAAGTTTAGTTTTATTATACAGCAATCTAAAAATCCCATTCTATACAAAACATAATTTGAACAAATCCAACGGTAAAACAATGGTAAAACCCAAGAATGTTATCATCTAGCATGACAGGCAGATCATTCTTACAGCCCCCAGCCAAATCAAAACAATGGTTATGTACAATTCAAAAATTTTCTCTTAAAACTTGTTAGTGACTCTGCATAGACTGCTGTACATCACCCAACATCTTCAGGACAGCTCTCATGTCACTTAAGAAGTGCCAGAGGCCTGAACCCATATACATAAGATAATAATGGCAAAATCCAGAGCCAATAAAACTGTGAAGTTTAGAAAACAGTAGTATCATCATCACTTATAAATATTGTTGACATACAGCCTGTCTCAAATGGTGGCACAATGCTGTTTTGATCATCTTTTATTTCTGCCATGCCCTGGGGAAGCATAAAGCATGATTTGCCATTGATCCTGTTATAACCTAAATATACTGCTGTTTGACAGAGACAAACAGCAGTACAAACAAACATGATTTTGCAGTTCTAAATCAGGTAGCCTGAACTGGCAAGCTAAGAAAACAATTGTCAGTTCAATAGTTCAGCAATCTTAACAGGACAACTTAGAGTCTTGCTCAAGAAGGATAGAGAAAACAGCCTAACAAATAAAATTATTGCCAGCACTCTAAGAGGTATTTTTATCTTGTTCAACCTAGCAGTCCATCCTCTCCATCATTAAAAGACCTTTGAAGAACTACACATTAAATTCTTACAGTTAGACAGCACAAAGCCCTCAGAGATGTGCACTACCTTACCCACTGACCGAGAATTAGTCAGAAAAAAAATGTAGTTTTTCACACCAGCAGGCAGCTGAGCAGAAACAGATCATTTACTACATGAAGAGATCCTTCCTCAGCAATTGCCTCAATTACCCATACAAGTAGAACATACATGCGTTGAAGTTTGTAAATACAAATTAGTAGAGGTGAAATTTGTATTCCCTTTAAGTTTTCGGAATACTAAGCAGATAGAGGAAAACGTATTTAACACTGAACATTTCCACTATATATACACATTTTTTTCCTAATTAATTCAATGGATGGAGGTCAGGCAATTGGGGAAATTGCATTCAGAGAAGAAAATTCCAAACCCAACAACTAAATGTAGAATATAATACAGTTAGCAGCACTGAAATAACAAGGAATAAAAAAAAAAATCTAGATATAGTTTTCTATAGGGGATGGTGCAGAGAAGGACAAGATGGGATTAACATTTGATTCTTCTCCTAGGTACACTGAAGCGTAGCCAAAACAGCACTCCTATTTGCCATTCGAGGGGACATTAGGTGATATGTAGTAGAGATTGTGTTAAGGAAGAAATTTACCCAGACATGGGTTCTCCAAGTAATTCAGTAAGACCATATCATTATACAGCAAACTAATTTCAAGAACTTAGATGAAATCAAGGATATAAAAAGACAGTTTTATATCATGAGTGCTTTCTGTGGGATATCTTTTATTCCACCAACCTTCAAGAGAGCTTCGTACACACGCACACCCTCCACCCCCCCTTCATTTCCTCTTTAAGAGCAATCTCAATTCTAGATTGAGCTTTTTGGAGTAATAAGATTTTTACTGCATGCCTAACTGGAACACAGCACACGGGGACTCCAACTGCTAACCCAGTGCTGACACTAGAAATCAAGAAGTAGCAAGAATATATGACTTTTTTTTTTTTTTTTAAACCATACACCTCCCAACACAGAACTTGCTGGAGTCTAGAGCTGAAGAAATTTAGCAGACATTTGTCTCTAAGTACACACAGTACTCTAGAGAATGAAACTAACATCTAGAGCTAGGTAATTCTCTCAATACCTTCAAAGAACCACTGATGAATATTTAAAATCTCTTTTTTCAAAAAAGGCACAAAGTCTCAATCTTGACTCTTGAAGCCCTCAGAACTACCTGATAACATTCATCACCAAGTGTAGCAAGTAGACAAATCAATACAATGGGAAAGGCATCACAACAAAGGTGTGATGACAAAAGGACTGGCACAATAAAGAGGTACTATAAAGAAAGGGAAGAAGATTGCTCACCCATATCAGAAGATTCCAGATTCACAGGGGAAGCTACACCGAGGAGGGATCTCCAGGAAGAGATCTTTCTCCACTGGCACTCAGCCCTCAAATGAGGTATAAGAGAGGTGCAGCCACGCTCCACCCCTTCCTGTCACACAGCTGAATTGCCTTCACCTGTGCTCCCAGGGCTGACTGGGTCCTTTCCCCTGGTGCTCAATCAGTGGCTCAGGCCAGGACTCAATAGTTCCCACACACCAAGAAAATTATCAATCTTCAGTATTCTTTAATAATGCTATAGCACTGTGTACGTTTAGATTAAATCAATGAGGCCTTTAATTAAAAACATGAGAATAACAATATTGAACTTTCACAGTCAAACCCATTTTTACTGAAAGCAGGTGATCATAATGCACTGCATTGCTACTTACATAAATTTAGCACTGCAGACAGAAAGCTTCACACATCCCACTGGAACCTGGCCATTGCATTATGCTTGAAACACACCACAGTAATAGAAAGCAGTCTAGGTTATAAAACAGAATACCACGTTCGTATGGATTAGAGGAAGTTATACTCACAGCTAGCATTTCTGTAGAGAAGAAAAGGTTCATGAAGCTGAAACTCCAAGTCTTTATTCACTGGTTCAACTAAGTTGTGCATGTTCAGTCGATTCACTATTGTAAAAACATGGTATGGAGAAGCAGACCTATTGTTTCAATTAAAACAAAAGCAAGGATTGAGACCTCGAACAACACGTGCAGTTTTCTGAAACAGTTATGAATTAATCCTCAAAACTCCATTATTTTATGAACTGACGCTTTAGTAGTCCTGAATATCCAATATTTGTTCTTCCATGTCATTTCTTGGCAAGCCAACTAAAGTTATTTTAAATTCATGCTTGACTCAACTATGATTAGAATTAACATAACAGTTGTGAACTGCAGAATCAAAAATATGTGGCAAAAAAAAAAAGATAAAGAAAACGCTGTTCAAGAACAAACATGATGTACCCATAAGCAGCCACATAATGAACACGGCAGCACAATGAAGGCTTCTAGGAAGAAGTTTGTTTTAGGTCACTTATGTCTAATAAAAATAATTAGCTAAGAAAACAAAAGATACTAGGGCAAAAATCAGACATAACTAGGTATTAAGTATAAAGATTTTTATAGCAACAAGGCCATGTGTACTGAATGACCAACAAAATCTGCCGAGAGCTGCTATGGAGGAGGCAAACAGTCCTTGCCATCACAAGGTTGTCTTTAACGTTCCTAACAGAGCTTTTGTGAAAGAATCAACTTGTCAAGGGAAAACTCTAGTTTTTAGTTTCATTGTTTTTCTTACACTATTTCCAAACTTGAAACTCAGGCAAAGTTAAGAGCATTAGGTTATTTGGATCCGCTTATAGTGCCAAGACTAAATAATTGGAACAACCTATAGTTTGTGACAGTCTGCTTTGGGACAGGTTGATTATATCTTCACATCTTACACACAGCAGACTTATTTCATTGTTAGGTTTCTGATCTGTAACTTGAAATGTTTACTATTAGTAGTTTTTATGCAGTGCTTCTGAAAAAAATAATTCCTGTTCAATCCTTTTCTTTACCCCAAGTAATTGTGAATTTCTTTCTGTTCTGATGAGGAAATCAAGAGGCCCCCAAGTGACTTAACTAGCATCATCCATTTAAAGAACCAGACAGGATATGAAAAAAATGAGAAATTTTTTAATTTGTCATCTATACTGTTTTCATTAGCAACTTCACAGGTGTTAGAAAGCCAAGGATTTCTCAGCATTTAACAAACACACAACCACATGCTACTGTATTAACAAATGCAGATTGATAAACTATGCTTTTGTGTGGATACATATGAAGCATTTATTAAGCATGTCGATTTTTCAGCAGTAATTTTAACAGGGTCATTCACCTTTGAACAGAGTTTAGTCCTCTCAAAATACACACATATATGTTAATAGCTAGACAAATGTTATTGCATGCAATAAATCTACTATGAAAGCCGCATATGCAGCCACCTGAGTCTTGTTTTCTTCTTAGAGCAGAAAAGAAGACATCAAAATAACCCTTACCTTTTGTACACAAACAAGGTACCTTCTATGTCAGTCTTCTCCTACAAAAAAAAGTATGTAAGTTTAGGAAATATTCTTATTAGCATCCATGTAATGTTTTAATTAGAAGTATCATTTACAACATTCTTATCTTGCCACAGAAGTTTGTCATCCCTTCTTTTCAGCAATGACCTGCTTTTTCCCTAGTAAAACTAGGGAAATTAAATCCACTTCCAGATGTGTTACACAGCACATGCCCAGCCTGACCAGTCAGAGCCGAACGCCTTGCTCTCAGCTCCTTGTTCTCAGACACTGGCTGCTATCTGCACACAGCAGACAGGTTGTTTTTCCAGATGTCTTAATTAAATGCCCACAGTACCAGCACAGACAACAACAGAACAACATAGCTATGCACCACAGCCGCTTCCTACTTGAAATTTCCAACCTTACCACACATGTCAAGGTCCCCAGTGCTGAGAAGCCACACACAGCTCTGGGGCTGAGCACAACAGGGTGAACTGCCACGTATTTATGCCTTCTGAGCTTTGTGATGAAACGGCAGCAGTCAGGGTAAGCTGGAGGGGCACGGTACGGCTACGCTCTGACCCTGGGCAGGGCTCCTTCCTTAAGCAATATCGCTAAAGGCACCTCTTCCCTGCTGTTAGAACACCAAGATCCAAACCAGAAAGGAAAACACTTCAGGCCAGAGCTACGCTTTAACGCAATGACGAATGCTGCTTTTCAAACCCCGCTGCTCCTGAAATAGGGCTGCGAGCAACAACCGACGGCGAGCACCTACCAAGCAGCCCGCGCTGCGGCAGCAACCCACGGACCGGGCACGGCTCTCCTCAGGCAAAACCACCTCCCGAGCCGAACCCTGCCGAGGGAAGGCCCTAAACCCCAACCCGGGCGGCCCCATCACGACCCGCCGCTCCGCGGCCGGCAGAGCCGAGAGAGCCGTTCCCACTTACCCACTCGTTAGCCTTCGGGCTGAAGCTGTAGAGCGCTACCTGCCCGGTCACGTCGGCGATACTGGTGATATACGGGTCGTGCTGCTTGAGGGCCGCCAAGCTGATCTCCTGCCCCGCTCTGTTCGCCGCCTCCATCTTGGCTCCCGGCAGCCACCCGCGGGGGCGGGCGAGAAGCGGCCACGCGGTGTCACTGTGCGCCCGGCCCCGCCGCCGGCCGGAACGCCGAGCTCCGCGCCTGACGTTCCGCCCGCGCTTTGGGCCCCCGCTGCGCCCTGCTCAACCCCACGGCAGAGCACGGTGGTACGCGGGCACCCCTTTTACTCAGAACAAAACGCAAAGTAAATGCTCCCTTTCACTTTGTTACGCGACAGCTGTCTTTGTATTTAGCGAATCCGGGGTGATCATTTAATGAAATTGCCATCAGTGGAATTGCCATCAGCCATGCGGCCGTGAGATGAAAAGACACACTCTGTCTTTTCACACTCTGTGTAAAAAAAGAAGAGACTGAAAACTCAAATTCATGTGACACCGTGTCTTACCATGGGGTATCCTCCAGTACTATACACCTGTACAAAGACACCCAGCATGAACTATTTCAGATGACATGTTCAGTTTACTGCACAGTTATCTCCCCACATCTGGGCATGCCAGAAGGAGAAATGGCGTGAGAAATACAAAACTTCAAAGCTCACCATAGCCCAGGACTTTGGGGAGATGCTGTATCCTCCATCCTGTACTGCAGAGCAGCACTCATGGGATTTTCCTGTGCTGGAGGAGTTGCAGAACAAGGTGCAGTCATTGCTACAGACTCAGTGCTTCTAATCTGGTATCTGATTATTCCACAGTCTACAGCAGGATATGGAAATATGAAAACCCTTCTGAGAACGTAGAGAATGCCATGTAAGCTCTCTCTTACCACAGGTGATGTTCTTTACTGCAGATAGACAGACTTCTAGCGGTTAGCTTTTTAGTTTAATCTTCCATGGGAATTGCCAGGTCTCTGCCTGAACCAATGGCTGAGCACCAGGTGGGGCTAACCCAGGGAACTCAGGATCAAGCAATGCACCCAAGTGATCCAAATAGGTGGGGCCTGGATCCATCCCTCCTCTCATTTAAGGGTAGGGTTAGCAGACAAGGGAGCTGCGTCTCTCTGAGACTGCATTTCTTTGGAGCTGTTGCTGGTTATTGGAAGGAGAGAGTCAATTTCTTTTCTTCTTCTGTCATTCTGTTTTATAGTGCTTGTATCCTAGGAAGAAGTTCTGTCATTGCCTTTGTTTGCCTTGTCTATCCTTTTCTACAAAGGCAAATGTGTAAGATATGACAAGGGTCTGGCTGTTGTGTGGCTCCATAAAAAGTCTTTCTGACAAATAGTAGAAAAGTCAAGTTCCAGCAGGATGCAACTTACTTATTTTCCAAGTAATTTTTTTTTTTTTTTTTGAGTGAGCACTTATTTATTTCTTTTGATGTCAAACACTTCTAGTATGAAATCACTTCATTTTTTTTTTTTAATAAAAGTTAATCTAGACAAAAAATTCCTATGTATTTCACTCCACTGACTCACCACAGAATCCTGAGAACTAAATGTGAGTTAAAGAAAAATCATACAAATTATGGAGAACAGCCCATGAAGAAAGCCACATGAATCTTCCTTCTCCTCTTTCCCTGAGGTGGTCTCATCTAATCTATAAAACTCAGATTTTCACTGATTCTCTTAGTGAAGTGCATAAAGCCAATTCCATCAAAGGGTAGAGAATGACATGTAATATGATGTCAAAGAAACTTTGTAAAAATATCTAGTTATGATTTAGCAATGCTCCAAGTTTGGTAATAATGATAGTATGAAAAAGTCCAACTCTGAGAGGAACATTTGTAAAGAAGACATTCAACATTCAAAAGGCACAAATGACAAAAACTTTTTAGCAGTTGATTTTAAATAGCATCTGAAACACCAGTCAATTTCTTTCTACAACGTTATTATAAAGCAAAGATATCTTAAAACAAAAAACTTGACAAAGGACAGCTTTCTGCTGTGCCAGACCTTTTCAACTGTGAAAACTCCTTGGCTGTATCTTGAATTAAAAATGAAACATTAGGAGCAGTGTTTTCCAGTTATGGAATTGTTATGGATTGTTTTCCTCCTTTGCCTGCTAATTCCACTTCTGCATTTGAGAGATTTATTCTCTCTGCCCTTCTTCACTGCTGTCGCCTTGCAAGAATACATTTTATATCAGAAATGAGTCATATGACCTGCCATCTGCTTCCTCAACCTTGAAGGACACTGAAGTGTATGATATACTTAGATTCAAGCTGTGACCTCTATGAACTGGAATGTTTGTTGTCTCCATTCAGGCTTGTTCTGATTATTGTATATTGCAGATTTCTTTGTCCTTCTCTGAAGCTATGCAACAGTTACTGCTGGGAAAAGTTCATCCATTGCTCTCTTTCTGATTCTTGCCCTGTACCACACAGAAGTGGGATGCTGTACATAATGCCCTTGTGATGTTTTCTCTGTGAGCGGGACAGATTCCATTTGTGTTTCAACAAACAAAGAGAACATTATGTTCTGTATTTCAGTTATTTAGCTGTGGTTTTATAGGACAGAATATGTTTATTTATTACCCTATGTACTTAAATCTGCTTGATGTATGTTGGTATTAAGGTAGGTGAAATAATAAAGATCCTCTTTTACTCCTTCAGTTGCTTGTGACAGCATGACTGGGTCTCTCCACTGATGGCTGCTCTGCTCTTTGCAATTGTACAGGTTCTTTCTCTCTGGCCCTTTTTTTTCTCCACACGGCAAATTAGATATGTGTTTCCAAAGCTTATTTTGGCTCCTTTCAGACTTTACACAGGAGAAAAAAAATTGTTCTAGAGTCTGCGATCCCTTTGTTTTTCCCCTGTTAACTGCATGCTGTCAGGAAAGAATATGTTGCTGCTGTTAAAATGATGGAGCAGTGCAGTAAGCACTCCTAGTCAGTGCCTTTTCTGTTACTTCTACAAGTTGAATCATGATCTGGTGGAGTCCAGCAAACCCGAGTGACTCACAGAGCTGCCATTCTGTAACCTTCACTGTTTTCCACTTGAAACAAATTTCAGAGGTTTCTGATATGTCATCTGTAAAATATCTTATGATGCTTTTTATTGCTTTGATTTCTGACTTCCTAGAATTGCAATAGCAGACAATTCTTGCTTTATTTTTTAGTAATTGTATTGGTTTTTATACCTTAAATTTTAGTGATAATGGTTATAATACTACGGAGTTCATTTATCTGGTCTTAGTTTTAGCTAGGGCAAATTGCCCTGATAAATACTTCTCTTATCTGTTGATTAGAGAAGTCTTAGCAGACTTTCATTTTGCATTTGAATTCCTTGGGCAAGCCTGCAAATATTTGTCGTCTTTCTGTGAGAGACATCAATTTCTAGGTGCTATTTTAAAGAAGTTAAAACAGTAAGGAGGGGAGGATGCTAGAAATTTGCTGGGGTGCATTTTTCTTTGAAAAATAATTTTTATTCTCAAGAAATGCTACTTGAGCCTTTTTATTTGCTTACTATTTATTATAGTGTTTAATTCAGTTGTACTCTTTGCTCTTCTTTTAAGGCACATTTGATCTTTGCCACTGTGAGGCTGTCAGTTCCTGATATTCAGTCTCCTTACTATACTTTAGTTCCAAATAATTCTTCATGTGATGATTCTCTGGTGTTATCCTGATGTAGGGTAACTGAATGCTACTACATTTGGAGGTAAAGATGTATCTCCTTGTGATTGACATCTGAGAATTATAATTGTTGAGAACTATTGCAGGAATGGGCTTCTATGCTATACTCACTAGCAGTTTATCCTATATTTATGTACATGTAAAAGTTTACCTTTCCTGGAAATCATTTTGCTCTTCAGGAGTGCTGAATGAATCCCAGGCTTTTAATGTCTTCCAACCTGCTGTATGTTCGTTCTTCTCTAATGCTGTGTCCACTGGTACTGTCTTGCAATTTTGCAGTAATGGATACTTAATCTTAGCCATGAAAAATCTTCTTCCACCTTTAGAGGAAGCTTTTCTGAATGGTTGTTTATTGCAGAGTTATAGAGAAACAACATCTACAGAGTCTCTTGGTCACCAAGTTAGTTTCCATTTGTTTTTCCCTTGGTTACAAAACTAAATTTGCTAGAACACTTACTGATCGTCATCAAGATAAAAAAGCATCAGATACACAGCTAGGGTATATTCCTTGAAATTTTACTAACTAAATTTTTGATAAATTTGTCAATTCATTATAGTCTGATTGTAGGAATTGTATAAAACTGAGGGGAGTTCAGGGAAAAAAGTAGAAGAACAGTAAAAGACTTGGAGAACTGGCCTTGTGAGAGGAAGCAAAAGAATTTCTTATGTTGCTGGATCACAAGAAAGAGAAAATTAAAGGAGCACGGTGGTCATTTGATGTATAAAAGATCTTTACGAAAGTCAGTTTTCCACAGCTACTGGCAAAAGGAGAGAATCAAATCTGGTTACTGTGCAGCAGATATAATTAAGTTGTATTCATTACAATTCTAATCAGAAGGAACTGTTAAGTGATACATGTTAAAAAGATTGTGATTTTTTTCCTCCACTGTTTCTTTTTAAAGATCAGATGCTTACAATATCTATCAGAAATGATCTTTGCATACTTCTTACATTTGTGCAGTGCCTTTTTGTTACTTATTCCTGTTTGCTGTTGTATCATTTCTCTTCCACCTTTCTCAGGAGATTTGTGTCCCTTCCCCTCTGCCAATCAATTGCTTATGTCACCTTAATGAAATAAGCCAACCAAATGTATGTACAATTCTCCATATCAAAGAAGGCGGTTTCTTGTCTGGGATTTGTCAACAGGGCTTTGTGATTTTGTAACTACATCTGTCGTACAGATGAATGGATGCAGAACAGTGATGATCTAAACAATTAAAACGTATGGGATTGCTTGATGGATATCTACTCCTCCATTTGGACTGTTGTCACTTTAAAGAAGCCAGGTGTAGGAAAATAGCGCTGGGACTGCAGACTTATCCAGCTGTAGTTTTAGCTATTTTTATGCTATACCTAAAACACAGATAATACGAAACAATTTTATAAAGTATCTCAGTTTCTCAGATCTTGCAGTACTGAAATCTGATTTTAAGTATAAATTACTGTGGTCTCATTTTGGCACATGATAGCTGCAGTCATGATTCTGTGACAAATGGATGACTCTTCCTTTTTTCTTTGTACAATTGGCAAAATGTTTTTCATGATTCCTGCTTCAGATTTTCCAGAACAACCCTGAATTATCGAAACAATAAAGCACAAGTGGGGGAAAAAGTAATCAATGAGTTCA